TCGATATATATCGTTATTTATAAATCGATATAAAATGATTAAATGCTATATATCGATTACTTTCTATAAAAAAAATTTCCCGATGATAGTATAATTGTGGGATTTACAGGATTCACAGGATTCACAGGATTCAGAAAAATGATTTGCAAAATTGATTGATTCAACTAAATTGAAAACAGCTGTAAATACATGAATTTTGTTATTTTCTGCATATTTAATTATAAAAATTCATTTTATAATAAACTTTTATGTAGAATTTTTTGATAATCCCGATCATGATTGGTCAATTTTGGCCAAAATAACTAATAAAGATGCCGAAATTGATCACATGATACTTCAGCTAGGTGATCTGAATTATAGACATTACAGCATAGTACCAGCCGGAGTTGAACCTGCAACATTTCTGCTGCGTAAGGACGTATGTACCTGCGCTCTAACCATTATTCCATTCAGAATGATCGTAGGATTTTAACATGTATTCCTTATAATCAAATACCGTAAACTGTGGTATAAAAGTACTAATAGTAATTCAACTATCATTAGCCCTCCCAATTATCAGATCCGTACCCATACAAGAGACCCATGGGTCTAGTAATAGGTTTTAAAATTGGGAAATGTACTAGACCCAGGCCTTTTATACGGCAGTTTACAGTATATAGTACCCTAGCCAACATAGCCATGGAGAAAAATTTTGTCGCTAAAATGAGATTTTACTTGAATAGTCGCATTCTGATTGGACGAAATTATTCAATTGCAATTAATTTTTTTTCTATTTTTTATTTTAATTATACATTCATATAGAATCAGAATAAAAAAATTTTCATCGATTTCAGATAGGTGGTTGTCGAGATATCTTCGCTCAAAGTTCGGAAAAAACCTTGCCGTAACTTGTTTTGATAATTATCCAAGTTTTTTCTAAACTTTGAGCAAAAATATCTTGACAACCACTAACTAAAATCGATGAAAATATTTTTTTTTTATTTTAATTATGCATTCATATATAATCGGAATAAAAAATTTTATCGATTTTAGATAGATGGCTGTCGAGATACCTTCGCTCAAAGTTTGGAAAAAAACCTTGCTGCGACTTTTGTTTTGATAGTTATCCAGGCTCTTTCTAAATTTTGAACGAAGATACCTCGACAACCACCTATCTAAAATCGATGAAAGTCTTTTTTTTATCTTAATTATACATGCACATAGAATAAAAATAAAAAAAATTTCATCAATTTTAGATAGGTGGTTGTCGAGATATCTTCGCTCAAAGTTTTGAAAAAATTTTGCCGCAGCTTTTGGTAATTGTCTAAGGTTTTTTAAAAACTTTGAGCGAAGATATTTCGACAATCACCTATCTAAAATACATGCATGTAGAATAAAAATAAAAAAATTTCACCGATTTTGATAGGTGGTTGTCAAGGTATTTTTAGGATAGTTGTCAAAACAGAAGCTGTGTCCGATTATTCTGATTACATATGCTTGTATAATTAAATAAAAATTTTTTTATCGGTTTTAAATAGATAATTGTTGAGATATCTTCGCTCAAAGTTTAGAAAAAACTTGGATAATTATCAAAATAAAGCTGCGGCAAAGTTTTTTAAACTTTGAGCGAAGATAACGTGACAACTACCTATCTAAATCGATGAATTTTTTTTATTCTGATTCTATATGCCTGTATAATTAAAATAGATGGTTGTCAAGATATCTTCGCTCAAAGTTTAGAAAAAATTTTCCGCGGTTTGTTTTGATAATTATCCAAGTTTTTTCTAAATTTTGGGCGAAGATATCTTGACAATCACTTATCTAAAATCGTTGAAATTCTGTTTCTATATGCCTGTATAATTAAAATAAAAAAATTTTCATCGATTTAAGATAGATGGTTGTCAAGATATCTTCACTCACGTTCGGAAACAATATTATCAAAACAGAAGTTGCGACAAAGTTTTTTCTGAACTTGAAGCAAAGATATCTCAACAACCACCTATCTAAAATCATTAAAAATTTTTTTATTCTGATTCTATATAAATGTATGATTAAAATAAAAAATGATCGATTTTAAACAGTTGGTTGCCAAGATATCTTCATTAAAAGTTTGAAAAAAAAATAATCACAATCGAATAATTTCATGCGACTGTTCAAGTAGAATTTCATTTTAGCAACTAAATTTGTCACCATGGCTAGGATACTACAAATATTACCGAATAATAATCTAATTTTCAGAATTTCGAACTGATTCTCGCAATGTTTAAACTATTCAGTTTATTATGTTGACATTTTAATATATGCTAACATGGGAGAAAATCACAGGCGATCTTTTAATTATTTACATTATAAATTAAATTGGATGCTATTATTACTGAATAAAATTACCTGAGGCACTGCTTACGTACATATTGTTACGCTGATGATATCATATAACTATTATGGCCGTCAGTCAATTTTGACAGTAAATATTAACGTTAAAGGAATTATAAAAAAGTCCTTATGATTTCCTATTATGGTACTGGAACCTATACACGTGTCACGTGACCTCGTAATTTGTCAAAAACTGAATAGATCAACATAGCTCTATAAAGTCACCTATCAGTTTTAAAATAGTTTAATGTATAATCATAGCATAACGCGAAATTTAAATCTTTTCAACTTGTCATATAAGAAAAAATTTGAAAATCTGACAGTAATATTGCTCATTGTAATAACTTTACAAGAATTACCCAGTCAGTTTAAAAGTTACTTTTATTAGAGTTGTTGCGTGTTACTTTATCCAAACTTTTTATAATTCAAAATGTTAAGTTTATTTGTTATTAATACTAAACGCTCGATTCTTATTTTATTAATAATTATTAATAGGTAAATTAAACGAATAAAATGAACGAATGAAGAAAGCGAAATATATATATATATATATTGCCGACGAACAAACAAAAATTAAAAAGTTTGTCACAAACGAAGGAAACATTTATACTCGAATAAATTTGAAATTCGTTAATACAAAAGAAAAAAAAACAACGGAATCAAATAATCGCGAAAATACGATAAACTTGCCATAATTACGTCAGAATTGCCAATATTTTCGATTAATAAACTATATTATTTCTTATCGGTTTTGTATATCTATTTTTATCTATTTATTCTGTAAGATTATCGCATTGGTCATAATTAAGATATTCAGAGAATTCATCTTCTGATGATGAGAAGCTTTCCTCAAGATCCACTTGTTTATCCTTTTTTTTTCCAGGTTCGTAGGTGTACCCTGGATACATCTCTTTATGCCTCTTGACAGCGACTTCTGCCATAATAGTAAAATATCGTTTCACTTCATTCGACTCAGAATCCCAACTTTGGCTTGCTTCCTTCGAAAGTTCACGCGCTTTCATTCCTGCTGTCCTTTGAGGATTATTCTTTCTCGCGCGTGCAATGTAATGTTTCCGATATAGAATGAATTTATTTTGTGCTCGAGGAGGTTTTTGTGATCTGTTATTTTGTTCGCGTGGAGCAAGAAGTTCTTCTAATGGCATGCCAAGTTCACAAGGAAGTTCCATTTCTTTGAGTTGTTCCTCAGGATCACCTTGAAACATTATATTCGACATTTTGTATAAGTGTTCTGTGTTTCTTGTGAGTTGAGAAAAATGAGGCGTTTATATAACGAAAATGCTAATAGCTTAGTCATTAGAAATTCTATAATTCGACAACAAAATAATTAATTGCCGGACTTATGTAAACATCTCAAAGGTTAAAAGAAAATTACACGTAATTCTTAATAATAATATAGGATCTAAAAATCCTATTCGATAATTATAAACTTTAACAATTAATTATTTAATCTGAACGTGCATTTTGAATTCTCATTTATAACTGGCTCTAACTCTAATATCTTGTTAAATGATACATAATTAAAGCCTTCTTTGCTAATTGTTGATAATGCATATATTTTGTTAGATATTTTTACTCTCTTTTTATTTTCCTTTATTCGATTTTTTTCTTTGTTCGTTGTTCTCATAAAATTATCATACGAAGCCGTCAATCTTTGTTACCAATTCCGTACTGTTGGAAATTTTAGAAAGTTTGCAATATAACTTATTCTTTTAATCCATATACTACTGTAATTCATCTCCCAATTTGCGGAATTGAACTATAACGATAACAATAAATTTGATCGGAAAATCGGACATGATGGAAGATTGTCTCATCGTGGTTCATGGAAAACGTTGCTGTGCCACCTTCTGATTTGAAAAATATCTGCATATTAAAATCTTATTAATTGTTATATAGTGTTAGTCTTTTATACAAGTGTTTTTAAACTAGCAGACAAAAAATTTAAGTAACCAACAAAATTTAACAAATTAAATGCAATTTTTTCCGGACTCCGAAAGCACGTAGAGCTGGTGACTACAGGATAACTTTTTTCGGATTAGTCAATCTTTACAATTGCATTTATACAGTTTAGAGAACTTTTTTAAAAATGTAATAATTCCAAGTGAAAAATAAAACTATATCTTCAATGAAACGCCAACAGTTATTATACAAAAGAATTCAAAAGGATCCACAACCTAGGAGTAATTTGCTTAGAAGGTGAACTTCTGCGTATATTATATGATTATTTCGTTGTTAAATATATTTGAAGTGAAAAAAAATTAACAAAGCAAACTTTTCTAAATATGAGTCGAATAAAGATGTGTACGTCAACTAACCTTGAATCAATGATTAATCCTTAAATGTTTCCTAAAAATAGATAACACGACTAAAAAACAGGTATCGGCATTGTTAGATGTCCGAAGCCAAAATCATACAATTACTCTTGACTATAAATATACACAATATAAAATGATTGGCTAAAACAGCA